CGTTTCGTTGAGTTCGGCAGTAATAGTATTTCCATTCTTCCTGTTATTGTCCGCAAAGGGGGTTGGAGTGGTGAGGAAGAGGAAGACGACGAATGCGAGCCCGAAGCTTTGCCGAGTTTTGCCGAAGCACACGCTGCATTGGCGAAAGTGAAGTCGTTCTTTTATGCGCTTAATATTAGTGAACGTGACGAAGAAAACATTTTGAACGTGGAAAGTGCTCTGCATGGTCTAAAACGTAAAGTTTCAACAAACCAGTTGTCCACTAAAGACTTTTTTGGTAAAAAGAAGTAACTTTGAAAGAGAAACATTGTTTTTTTTAAAAAATTTAATGCTTTCCCGCATCTATCGTTTTCCCGCATTCATCGTTTTTATTTCCCACCCCCGCCGAAAACGATGAATCGAGGTTTCACTGTACTACACTCATATATTTAAACTTAAATATGAAATCAATCACACAAAAGAACTTTAAATGTAGAACACTTCTGAAACTGACACCTTTCCTGCCAGTTTATGGCTCCATGGGCAAGTCTCATCATTCTGCTACAGTGACATCACAGACTGTGCAGATGACATGTACTTACAATTTTTTCTCAAAGCCCACAACTGTATTAGTTTATTTTTTAAATGAAGAAATTTGATTTCTTTTAATAAAATGTTTCTTTTGTCCACAGTGATCACCTGTGTCGAACCAGAGCTGCCAACTGGCAGTTATGTTGTAGGATATGACTTCAATGTGCATTCATCAATTGAATATAATTGTGAGGTGGGTCACATTTTGAGGGGAGAGGCCACGCATGAGTGCACCATGCAGGGCGAGTGGTCTGGGGAGACACCCACTTGCGAGTGTAAGTCTCTGACATATCAGATATGATAAGACAGTGGTCTCTAACTTATAGAAAAATAAGGATGGTAGAATTCTGGTATATTGGTAGTACCACTACAACTTGACACGTGGACAAAGTGCTTAATCTTCAATGACTGTGTCACTACTTACATGTGATCCCACAGCAGCATACTGTTAAAACATTAAAGTCTAGCTGGCAGCTACTTAGATTCAGGGGTTAATCCACTGTACTCATATGATGAAGGTTAACCACAACACTAAAATATACAGAAAAGTTATACCAAAAACATGGTCCTTGAAGTAACATTAACACCATGTATTTTTCAGAAGACATTGGAAATGCAACAGTTTGAAATAGAATACACAAGATAAAGTACAATTTAATTTAAACAAATACAGAAAATAAAAAAATATGGTGTAGAAACATTGGGTTTGCTCCAGTACATTCAGAGATACACTGACTTCATATCTAATGTAGTATTCGGTCTGAATCATGGATAGTATGTCCAAACACGAGTGATATTTACATTATTCACCTCAAAGGAATAAACTGTTATTCTTTGGGTAAGCTGCACAGAACCTCTCTTATTGGCTCATCTCCTTAAAGAGGCTAAATCTGAAATGTCAGATGCCATGACACTTGTAATAGTTTATTAATTTTGTCTCTTTTGGCACATCGTGTTCAAATGCATTGGTGTCAGAATACTAGTCCAGGTGCTGTTGAATATTCAGGTAGGAGAATTTTAACCCATGAATACTAATATTAGCTGTTCAGACATGCACAGGAAATGCTCTCAAAGTGTTTTTTTGTAAATATTTTGAGATAATGATGCTGGAAATCAGTGTGGGTCACATTTCACGGATATGACGATGACAACAATGACAATGACCTCATCAACAGAATAGAATTGACAATAATAAGAAGGCAATATCTGTCTATATTTAGTAATCTACATTAATACATTTTCATTTGTAAGTTACATGTTCATTTTCTATGATTTATTTGAAATCAGAGGGTAACATAATATTCAAATTGGTAGGCCTGACATAATTATCAGAGCCCTCTAAACGCCACAAGAATTTTTTTCTTTACAGAATAGTTCCTTCATTTTTCAGATGTTGACTGCGGTAAGGTAACTCAACTGCTGTATGGCTCCGTTACATACGTAAATGGCACCACATATCTTGGTAGTAAACTATCATACAGCTGTGTTAAGAGCTATAAACTTGTGGGTGCTACATCCAGGCAGTGTCTAGAGAATGGCCAGTGGAGTGAAGAGTCACCTCGGTGTGAGGGTAAGTTCTGTGATTTAACCATTAACAGTCCACAATTTGTTTAAGACACAGCAATTCAATTCCTACTTGGCCCACTGTGAACTTCAAGACAAAACATGCATGCATCGTGGCTTTATTATTGTCATATTTGGTTCAAAACCAAGAAAATACTGTCACTACACTCTGAAAGGATGGCCACACACCCTTCATAAGGGACCCTTGCTTCTCCTTTAAAAATATTTTTTCATAGCCTTCCTTGACAACTAACAGCTGAAATTTGTATGTAAAAAAGGCTTCCTGGTGTTGTACTCTGTAACTTTCAGCTACAACACTGAGTACAGACTATAAATTTTGGTCACTTAATTGAAACGAAGCCACTACACACTGATACATGTCCTTTTACATTTATGTACAGATTTTTATTTATTTCCGGGTTTATTATAACGAACATAACATATATAAATACACTACATTGCAAATAGTTGGAGTGGTTTCAAATCAAGGATTGGTGTCAGTCTGAAGATTGCCACATATAGCTAAAACATGTTGCTTTAATCCTTACATTAACTGTACAGAATAAATGCACCATAATAATTTACACAAGATCAAAGATGGCTGTCTTCTGTGTTGTTGTGCCATTATCAGGGCGATGAGATCACCCTGATGATGGAGGCAGCTAGGACCTCTGAAACGTTAGTAAACTTCCACCAGGCTACACGGTGGAACAACCCAGAAGACAGCCATCTTCAGACTCACCACCGTGAAAAACTCAAATCCTACTTTAAGATTATTGTGTGATGGTACAATTTTTACTCAGTTCAAAAATCACAACAGGATGCCTATCTACAAGCCCAATTCCAAGACCATCTTGATGAGCAACGTTGTCTTCAGAATTATTCTGCTTCCCCATGCCTAAAAATCATATTCAGAACTTTCTATTGCAGAGATTCGATGTCCTGAGCCTGTCTTGGCAGAGCATAGCATATTGTCTGTGACAGGCAATGACCGGGTATATGGGCGCACTCTGATCCGAACAGCAGATTCTGGCACATCGCTCACTACTTACAAGATTGGATCACTGGTGAAGTATCGCTGTGAAAGAGGTTACAAGGTGATTGGTGAGCCACTCAGTACCTGTGAGGATACAGGCCAATGGAGTGGAGATGTGCCTCAGTGTGTCTGTACGTAGTCTCAATTAGAGTGAAGGGAAGATACCTAGACTTAGATGAGAGGGCAGTATTAGAAAAAAAAGGGGTATGAACTGGATTCAGCTGGCTCAGGATATGGTTCAGTAATGGTCTCTTGTGAATAAGCTAATAAATCCTTGAGTTTCATAAAATATGGTAAATTTCTTGACCAGCTGAGTAACTGCCAGCTTATCAAGAAGGAACATATTCCATGGGGAATGGAAAATGGACAAAAGAAATTATGGTTTGCTGACAGCATATTCACTGGAAATGAAAGTCAATGCAGCATGATCCTAACCACTTTTATCTAACTAGAAATGTGAAACCATATCGAGTTTACCTCCATACCACCTATACACCTTAACAGCATGACACTTTTTTACTTTGTTACAAGATTAAATTTACTTGTAGAGAAAACAAATGAATGAATTTGAATAATCACATACCTAATTTGCATTACAAATACCATGGATCAAATCCTGTGACATGTTTTCATAACTGATGATGTCCGTCTTCTGGGATGTTGCACCATGAAGTCTATTATATGATGAGTAACATTTCAGAAGAGCTTACTGCCTTCATCATCGGGATGATGGTTTTCCCCTCCTCTAGACAAACGCCCAGATAACGATAATCCCTACTTCCATAATTGTCGCTATTATCTTGCAGCAAGAATGCAAAGAACAAGAAAACACTAAATGAGTTAGAATAGCTCACTAGTATATTGACCATGGACTAGACACCTGAGGTAAAATTTGCACCAGGAACAATGAAATTCCTCTTTACTATCACACCCAGGCTAGGTGTGGGACCCACACAGCCCCTACCCAATGGGTTAAAATAACCAAAACATGAGGCTGGCCACCTCCATCCAGTGACACAGTTAAGAATGTGTGCACAGTTATACCTCTACTCCCCACACATCTTCATGGTGTGATAATTAAGCACAAGGTTAACTTTTACTTTATACAAGACAACACACAGCATATGTTGTTGCTTTATTATGATGTAATTTACTCCAGAGCTTACTTTTTAACTTCTGAAAATCTTTGTTTTACATAGTTGTGGACTGCAAAGAACCTGAGATGTTACAGCATGGCAAGTACACACTTGCATCCAATGCAACATACTATGGAGCAGCTGTTCTTTACGAATGTGAATCAAACTATGAACTGGATGGACATGGACGACGGCTCTGCCTTGAAAATGGTACCTGGTCATCTGAAACACCACAGTGCAAGGGTATGTCCAAGATGCATTTATTAAATCAATTTGATCTCTGACAGAACTGAATTATTTATCTGGAATATGGAAAGTTTGTGTAGGTTTTAACTACTAGTTTACTGTTTTACAATTTTAACACCCTGAAAAATCAAATTCAAGTATTTTTCAATATTTTATGCACAGAATTCATTTTATATTCTTCTTGGCCATGAATAAAATTTGAATGTATACAGGTATAAACTATACTTCAAAAATAGTTTATAGATATGGATGGATTTGTAAAATGTTTAATGTGATTTTGTATTTAATATACAAGTAATCCACATAATGTGAAAACATCTTGGGAAGAAGAAGAAATTGTCTGTATAAATATTTGATCTTGCAGCCCATTCCTTCCACAGCATCAGTGTCAGTTCTGAGATTAAGTACAGTAATTTCCAGTCTAATTCAAATTATAAGCATCAATAAAATAGTAGTTAATATGTCTTAAGCCCAATTGCCTGATATGGTCTCATGCAAACTTTTGTATGATTCCCTGAACTTCATCTTCCATTTGGTTGGTAACAGAGAATTAGGGATGGTATTCCTGACTGAAGAATTCAAAGAACATGTTTCCCAGTTACCTCTGTAATTTTCTATGACTTCAATGACATTCTTCATTATGTCTAAATTTATTTTAAGTCCAAATAAATTAGCCTGCTACTGTCCTCATGAATTTCATTTCTTCTGCTTCTGCTTCTACTTTCATCTCTCTCACATTTAATCTAATATTCACTGTCATAAGTCAATATGAATCATGCTAAGTCTTACAAAGGCTTATAAGAGTATGTTTTTAACTGAAACTGGGTTTGAACACTTGCATTCATGTATTACCACTCCAAAAGTATATATATATATATATATACACACACACACACACACACACACACACACACACATACATTGTCCA